AAGTGGGCTCAATGAAATCATGAACTTTCTGTTATCACTTCACTTGTGGCGGAGTGGTTATGAAGCTTCGACCACGCCTGCTCCTGTCCGCAACCAATTCCGTTCCCTTGACACCCTTCACTCTTGGTGCTTCAGGCTGTGCCTCCCGCAGGAAGCCTCCCACCTTCCAGGGAGGGGAGAAGGCTGCCCCTGCAATGCACCTGTCACAGTCCAGGGTGGCTGCTTATTAACCTGCCTCCTCAGCTCGACTGTGGGCTCCAGGAGGGCACCACAGGGACCCTGTACTGACCACCTGTGTGCTGCTGTATCCCCACATCTGGCTCGGAATGAATGAACACTCAGTCAACACATGGACTGAAGGGAGGAAGGAAGGCGATGTTCTTAAAGAACCAGGAAAAAAAACAAGATTTGGGGGAGTGGAGTGAAGGTTGTCCATGTATGATTGTCTCCTAAGAAAGATGAAGTTGGGCTCCACACCCACCGGAGCTTGGCCTGAGAGCTCAGTGCTGAGAAAGGGGGCGGGGTAAGGCACAGCCCCCTGGAGGCCAAGGGGGCACCGAGCCAGGAGGCCGCCCTATCATCACAGCTGTTAAGGAGGAAAAAAGGCTGAGAGGGAACGTTGGAAAGAGGGCACAGGGAAGGCTTAACCAGCACTCCAGCTGTCTGCGCCTTCTGTGAAGACCGTATAGTTCCGATTCCCTAACCTCAGCTCCTGGAAGCAACATCCTGCACGAAGAATGGAAATGGGTTTTCTTTTCATTTTGCCGTCAGAGTCAGGCAAATCCCTTTCCTTTCCTGGGTCTGTTTCCTTATCTGCTGAATGAAGGCTGTGGCCCATTTCTCCGTTCTGCTCCCAGGGACACTGGGCAGCTGTGAGTCAGTTGCATATCCTCTGGTGCCTCCACATTTCTGCAGCAGCCCTGTGGACAGCCCTCCCCTTGAGGATTGGTTTGTTGGTGTGAAGTCAAAGCTTCGAATGTGGTTTCCTAACCCTTCCCAGCTCTCTGGGCACCTGGACCTCATCGGTAAAGGGACACAATGCCCCTCTAGCTGTAGAGGATCAAGTCCAGGGACCAAATAGGGCCCCACCAGATATCGGTTTCCTCCTGCCTCTGACATCCCATGAGAGCCGCAAACTTATGTGGATTTAGACAAGTTCTCACGTCATTCTTTCATTAAGCTACAGATGTTTACCAAATGGGCTTTAAGCTCTTTGACAACCACTAGGCGTTAGAGTGGGGAGAGTCCCTGGAGATAGTGCCTCCTGACTAGGAAGCAGAGAAATCTGAGCCTTGCTCAAGACCGTGGCCAGTGAACACCAAGGCTCTGCCCTGCAGTCTCCCCAGAACAGCACCCCCACCAAGGGGCAGCTGGGCTGGTTCCTCCGTTCTTCCTCTGCACTGAATCTTCCAGGAACCTTCACATTTGTTATTTTGTTTAGCCTCCCCAGACCTCACACCTGCATCTTTCCACTGGACAGAGGAGGCCAAGATCAAGTCTGCACATGTGGCTGCAGCAACATTGGACAGTGACCCCCTCGGTCCAGCAGCCTCTGGCGGTGAAGTCATGTCCATGACTCCTGCAATGCCCATTAACTTCAACCCAGAGAGCAGGAGTGCTGCTTCAGCTGAAGTCTGGGGACGGTCTTCGTCTGCCGAGTTTCAGTTTGACTCAGACACTTCCTACAGTAGACCTAACAAAAGAAACATCTAGCCAGATCCCTTAGCAGCCCCTTAGCTTCATGAGCCTTTCCGAAGTCACACACCTTCCCCCCAGCCAGCCAAGCCAGGTAAAGTGGACACAGCCTGAATCACACCTGCAGTGACCCCAACTTACAGTTCACACGTCCTCTTCTTCATCCTGAGACTTTGTGAAGGTACCATTTTGCCCAGAGGTAATGCTTGAAGATTTATTAAGAAAGTCCTCCTATCCCCCCACCCTTCACCCCACCAGGGACCAATTCCCCAAAGGCACACTCACAGTTTGCAAAATAATTCCTACAGAACATGTGAGCTCCCCCGCCCCCACCCCTGGAGCCCCAGCATCTAGTGCTACCCCGGCCCATGCACACTCAGCACGGTTATGAATGGGCTTCTTTCTTGGGGTCTCTCCTCCTATGAACCACGGCCTCGAGGGGAAGCCGTCTGTACGCAGGAAACACACATAGGATATTATGGGAACACCCCTGCAGAAGACTCACCCAGCCCTCATGGACCGGGGAAGAGATCTCAGGGGAGAACCTCCTGTGAATAAAAGAACTGCTTCCACGGAATCCCCACTTTCCGGTAACTGGAGAGGCCTGGGGCCGTCAGTCCCTTCATTCAGGATGAAACCCCTCCACCCATGCGTGGGAATGCCAGCTTGATACTGCATGTACACTGATGTGTTTGTCAACCTTCCTAAGCACAAGGCTGCTTGGTTCATGAAAAACTTCGCCACTCACCTCTGATTCCCCAACCTGAGCCTCCCAGCTTCTGTGTTGAGGCAGGTCACTGGATGGACACAGAGGGGACTGACTATAGACCCCTAGGGGCCTGGATCTCAGTGGGTCAGTTGGAAATGGAAAGCCATTGGAATGTGCTTCGGGTTAGAAGTGACCTCGAAAACACAGGCAGGGAATTGTGATCTGCAGACACTTGGGGATCTGCCTGAGAAACAAGAGCCCAACGGGCGATAGTTCATTCAAACTGGAGACCTGATGGATGCACCCCTCCCCTTTCCCCCGAGGAGCAAAATTTAGGAAACTCCATTGCTAAGAGCGGCTGCTCTTAGGGAGTAAGGCTCGGAATTTTGCTCCATTCAGTGCACAGAGACAGCAAATGCAGAAACAGACTAAGAGATACAGAAAGAGAACTGGTGGCTGCCAGAGCGGATTGGGGCTGGAGCCCTGGGTGAAGAGGTGAAGGCACTAAGGCGCACGAATTGATAGTTACAAAATAGCCATGGGGAAGTAAGGAAGTACAGTCAATAACACTGTGTTAGCTATGTGTGGTGCCAGTGGGGTGCTGGAATACTATGTAAAGTATATGATTGTCGAACCACTAAGCAGTACAACCAATAGGATGGAGGGGAAGGAGGGAGGGAGGAAGGAAGGCAGTCTATGATTGGTGGAGTCCCAGCAGCTGCCTGCAATGGCTATCTGGCCCTATCCGATGAATTTCAAAGACAGGTGTTTTCTCTTGACCTTACTATTTTGTCTTTAACTGTTTTGGAGAAAGCGTGTGTGGAAGGCAGGCCTACCAAGAGTAGATAGGCAGCAAAGCCTACTGCCTCTGACAACGCCCTTAGCAGATGAGAGGACTTGAGGCTTATGAGTTTTACTTACCGTACTCCCTGAGAAAGAAGGTATCTAACTGGTCCTACAGACTCTTCAATCCGGTTGTCCATTGGTTGCTTAGGAAACACTTATAAAATTACACGTAATTGGACTTCACCCCACACCAATTAATCAATCTCTGAATAGTTTGTTTCTGCCTGTTTTTAAAGCTCTCCATGTAATTCTACAGTGCAGTTAAGGTTAAGAAAACTCCTGTATGAAACTACCAAGGCCCAAGAATTCCAAGCTGACCAGATACAGCTCAAACTGGAACTGGACAGGCCTGCTCTGACAGCAGGCAGGCTGAGCATCCCTTCACGGCGTGGCCAGACCGGGTGCACTGCTGTCCCCACGGGGCACTGAGCAAGTACTTGGTGCCACATCATCGTCCCAGGACACACCTGTGGTTTTCCCAGGGCCCAGAAGCTAGGCTGGTGGGTGCTTCAGGCTGGAAGGGTCAGGCTCGGGAAGGAACAGTGTGATCACAGGGCTGCCGCCTCCTCGCAGGACCAGGACCGGGACCAGGGCCTGGACCCTGCCCTCGCTGGCCCTGCTCAGCACGGAAGGGGCTCGAGGACATTCACACAAGGAGGCAGTTGTGGTCATTAGAAGAAAATAAGGTGTTTTTCACTCTTTCTCTTTTCTATTTCTCATTAATCCCTTCCTTGCAAACTGCTGTCTCATTGTTTCTACGAAGTTGGGTGGAGACTGGCAAAAGGTATTTCGAGCAAAAGCCAGTATAGCTGGTATGTTGCAGTCAGTATTACCAGTAGCCATTACATTTCTGAGAACTGGGGGAAAGAAAATACTTTGTTATGTGATGCAGGAATACATTTTTTAATAGATTAGAGATGAGACCTAACACTGCTTCCCTCTCTCTGTAAGTACCTTCTCCTACCCACAGCCGAAATTTCACACAATTGATTCTTACAAGGAACACACACAGATCTTTGGAAATCGATACCAATGGTATGACATTAACACACTCCCAACATCTCAGAGCAGCATCAGTACAGAAGTGCTGCACGGAGTTATTGGTTAGAATGGGAAGATTATTAGGTTATCAGCCATTCCCAGGATGACCTCATCCACCTGAACATTTTAACACAGGAGTCAGCAACTTTCTCTGTAAAGAACCAGATCACAAGGATTGTGGGCCACAGACCCCCTGTCCCAACTACTCAGCCCTGTCACTGTGGTCCAAAAGCAGCTGCAGACAATGTGCAATCAAAGCCATATGGGTTTGTCTTGTAATACAATTTTAATTTACAAAAAGAGGCAGGCTGGATTTGGTGCTTTGCTGACCCATGTTCTAACAGACTATCTATCTATCTATCTATCTGTCTATATATATATATATATATATATATATATATATATATATTTTAAACATTTTATTTATTTTTTGACAGAGGGGAATGGAGGAAAAAAGAAAGAAACATCAATGTGTGGTTGCCTCTTGCACACCCCCTATTGGGCATCTGGCCCACAACCCAGACATGTGTCCTGACTGGGAATCAAACCGGTGACCCTTCGGTTTGCAGGTTGGCACTCAATCCACTGACCCATACCAGCCAGGGCACACTATCTGTATTTTGAATATCTATTTGCATTTGTGAACACGGCTTCAATAGATTGAACTAACATTTAACGGGTGACAAATAAAGAATAACGAATGACATGGTAAAAGACAGATAAGGATTTAATGACAAATATTCCATATTGGTTTGCTTGAACACCAGAATGCTGTCCAGGGAACCATCATTAAATAAAACAACCTGAAAATAAGGCAAATCTCACATACACAAGCACACACACACACACACACACACACACACACACACACACACACAAAACCTGTTACTTTCAGGGTCATTAAATTATTCACTATTTTAACAAACAGCTGTAAAATAACATTACAGTGAAGGAAAGTGTGCACAAATTTCAGAAACACAGTTCAGATTGTCTATGAACACAGGTCCCTAATTTGTACTTTTTCACATATGTACAGCCTCTTGATCTCGAAGAGACCACATGGCTCAAGGGGTTAACTTGTCATCTTCTCCTCCCCACTGGGAGCTCAAGAGTTAAGCAAGCCACCGAACCTATTTAATCTGCTCCAGATTTTGCTCAGGAAAGGGCAGCCTGCACTTGACCAAACTCCCAGGAAACAAATGATGCACTTGTCTCCACCTTCATGAATGGGTTGGTAGGAGTCTTCAGATGAACATTGTAAGGGTGAACCACAGTTAACAGGGATTGCTTGAGAAATACTATCCTAAAACTAAATACAAGAAACGCAGATATGTTCCCTGAAGAATTGTGAGAAAAATGGAATCACATTTTAGATGCACCGTAAGGGCGGGTGTGGATGGTTGGTCTGTTTCCTTCCGCACAGAGGTTTGCTCAGGGAGGGGATACTGAAGTAGAAGCTGACTCTGATCCACCCTAACAGGAAGATCCAGAGAGGTCAATGAACTCCAGAGATTTCCACTACCTCTAAATTACTTTCCATTGCTTCAGTCTCCCCTCCCTGTTGAACCCTTTCTCAAAAGCTGCTAATATGTAATGTACTTGATGCAGATGAGACTGTGCAATAGTCGAACCATGGCAGCAAAAGGCCAACTAATCCATCAAGTGGATGGTCAACCCATGAAGAATCAAAAGTTCAATGACATTTCATAGGCACAGACTTGAAAGAACTTAAAACAGCTGGAAGAGGTAGATGTGCATGGAAAAAAAAAACCCAAAGGAATAAGATTACCTACAAAAGGGCTATATTATTTTCACGTGAGTCTCATACACTTCGTATTCAGACTATAAAATTCAGAATAAAGAATGGACACTTGCTTTGCTCATTACTCTCAACTAAAAGAAAATTAAAAAAAAATTAGTGTCTTCCAAAACTACCTCTATTTTGAAAATCTATTTGCATTTCTGAATAACAATAGTCTGATTAAGAGGGCAAGATTAACAAGCATTATACAAGCCCACAATTTTCAGGATTTTTAAAGTGTTTTTTATAATGACAAAAACATGCTTTCCTACAGCCCCCAAAGAGGTCCTTTGCTAGACTACAGCGGATCAAGTATAAATTACTGGCATCCCCATAAAATTTGCTAAATTGTAAAAACAATCTTGTAGTTGTCTTTTTTCCCTTCACATGTGCCCAACAGTTTATGAAGATGCTTCCATGAAAAGCACAGGGTAACAATCACTAGTGAATAAAACAGGCTGCTTTCCACAACTCTAACGTCTAAAGGCTCGCCCAGGTGAGGGATTTCAGCACAGGTAACTGAAATCTACACACAAGAGTCGTCTAACTACAGCCACCTAATAGAAATGTAACATACCTAGGACACCCTAACTATGTGACAAAGACCAGCTTTGTCAACAAGGACATCTTTGGCCCTTCTAGACTAGCCTTAAAATTTCCATCAAGCATACAAATTTTCAGTGTCCTTGGTTTATTATATAAATCACAACAGGTAAGTCATCCTAGCAGCCGAGCTGGAGAGCACAAAAGGTGAGACCACACCTACCCACGCCATCGCAGCCTCTCCTCAGAACAGCATTCAGCACTCCTGTCCCCAGGCCTTCCCTAAGACAAGGGTCATAATACTGATCTGCCTCACAAAGATGTGAGAAACAACTAACAATCGTTAAAAAGCATAAAGCACTTTACAAATATAAAAGTGCTAGTTTGGCATTTCCAGAACCAGAAAACATTCATTGCTTGTGCTATTTGGCAATTCTGCATGTACACCTCTCCCTGCTTGTGCCCTTCTTGTATAAAGCCTGGAGCTTTCTACCGTGCCTCCCTGTGTAGGAAAAACAAGTTTCTACTCAGACCAGAGCCCAAATCAATAGGGGTGGAGGTGGGGCTTCCATGATTTCCCCCATGCTATGGAGGAGGAGGGGTGCAAGACACAACACAAAGGCAAATGAGACCAAGGAGACTTGTACCCCAGCATGCGAACTCCACTTCCCTGTGTTTCTCACATAAGGCCAGCAAAACTCTTGAGCTGGCTGACCTTTGTAGCAGGTCACTGTGTCAACTGTTGACGGTCTGGGGTTCACCTGAAATGAGGATCCAGCTGACCTGGGGAAGGGAAAGTCACACAGAGCTGGGATTGTTCCATTTCCCTGCACATAAAAGATCACAAGTGAGACCTGAAGGAAACATGGAGCCCAGCACACACCTGACACCGGGGGCCAGGGTCTGCTAACTCACACGGACCACCTTGCCCCAGCATGAAGCTAGAACATTTCAGAGGACGTAGCAATGAGCCAGGGGTGGGGCCAGGGCATCCTAGATCTGACAACCAGTTGTGAATGAATCTCTGAGTTTTACCTTTGAAATGAGGGTGTGTAGCTTTTCTGCCCAGTATCCCCTGGACACCTCAAAATAGCAGCTAACTGTGGCTCAGAGAAATGAAGAGCATACACTATATCATCCCTTACAGGACTGGCTAGGTTCCTCTACTTTTCGTAGGACTAGAGCTGATGTTGGAGGGGTGAGGAGGGAGGACAGGGCAAACGGTGGCTGAACACCTGGCGGGACCAGGATAGAATTATCCACACTGGCTTTTCATTGTACCCTGTAACCCTCACTCTAACCACGCCCTCTCCCCTGATTCCCACAGGCCATCACAGCCCAACCCACTCTATTCCCGCCATCCTATTCCTGCCCCTGCCGCCTAACTCCCCTTCTTCAAGGTCCTCAAAGTGCCCACTCTGCTCCTACAGCGTGTTTGAGAAGTCAGCATGCTCAAGCACATCTCCCAAACATTTCTTCGTTGGGGAGGAGGCAGGCAAAAATGTAATACCCCAAAGAACGCCTCTTAATCAACCCTCCCTTTCAGGACTCCCTAACACCAATAGGTTCCCAGTCGCTCTCAGATTGTCCCTCCCGCCCCTTCCCATTTCTTTCTGTAGGGTCTGTCCCCAGGACATCTGGGCCCCAAATGCTCCCAAGAAGATCAGCCTCCCTCAGGCCCAGCCCTAGCACAGGTGAAGTTTCTGGTGCTGCGCGAGGTGTGTTTTGTAGCGGAAGCCCTTGCCACAGCCCGCGCACTTGTGCGGCTTGTTGCCGGTGTGGATGCGGCGGTGGCGGATCAGGTGCGAGCTCTGGATGAAGCTCTTGCCACACTCGATGCACGTGTAGGGTTTCTCGCCCGTGTGCGTGCGCTGGTGCTGCGTCAGCGTGGAGAAGTCACTGAAGCGCTTCTCGCACTGACTACAGCGAAAGGGCTTCTCGCCGGTGTGCACGCGCAGGTGGTTGACCAGGTGCGAGTTGCGGCCGAAGCCTTTGCCACACTCCCGGCACACGTAGGGCCGCTCGCCCGAGTGCGTGCGCTTGTGCGTGAAGAGATGCGAGCTGACGCTGAAGGTCTCGCCACACTCAGAGCACATGTAGGGCTTCTCGCCTGTGTGCACGCGCTGGTGCTTCACCAGGTCCGAGCGCCAGCTAAAGCGCTTGCCACACTCGCCGCAGCCGTGCGGCTTCTCGCCCGTGTGGATGCGCTGGTGGTTGGCGAGGTGCGAGCGGCGCACGAAGCCCTTGCCGCACTCGCCGCAGGCGAACGGCCGCAGCGCAGCGGGTCCCGCACCGCTGGCCGCGGCGTGCGCGCGCCGGTGGCTCAGCAGGTGCGAGCTGAGGCTGAAGGCCTCGCCGCACTCGGGGCACGGGTAGGGCTTCTCGCCGGTGTGCAGCCGCCGGTGCTTGAGCAGGTCCGCACGCCAGCTGAAGCTCTTGCCACAGTCGGCACACAGGTTGGGCCGCTCACCCGTGTGCAAGCGCAAGTGGTTGGTCAGGTAGGTGTTGCGGCTGAAGCCCTTGCCGCACTCTCCGCAGCGGAAAGGCTTCTCGCGCGGGGGCCGGGCCAGCGCAGGCCCCGCCCCGAAGCCCCCGGCCACGCCCACCACCGCGCCGCACTCGCCCGTCAGGCCAAAGGGTTCCAGGCTGGCTGCTGCGGCTGCCTCTGCCAGGCTGTGGATGCGCTGGTGCTGCAGGAAGGCGGCACCCGGGCTGAAGCTCTCTCCACAGTCGGGGCAGATGGTGGGCGAATCCATGATGCTAGCCATCAGGCTGTCCAGCTCCCCGAGGTCCATTGCCATAGGGTGGTGGAGACGTCGGAAGCGGCGGTGGGCCGGCTTGTCACCTCGGTGCCGACTTCCCAGGGAGAGGTGCCGCCTCCAGGGGAGCACGGGCCGGGGTGGCTGCTCCTCTTCCTCCTCCAGCCGGTTTTCGAAGGCGCTCTCCTCCTCCTCTTCCTGGGGACTCCGGGATATGCTCTCGGACACAGACAGTCCTGGGAACACAGCCACTTCAGCTACACCAGACCGGTCATTCTCTTCCTCGCAGAGAGCAACCCCTTCTTCCTCACTCAGCAGCCCCTCTGCAACAGCAAAAGGTGACAATGGGAGTGACTATACCTGGAGGTCAAAAAGTAAACCCGAGAAGTGTGGGCCACGGTGTAATTAATCCCCTCCCCGGGGTACTCTCAACCTCACTCTCCAAGATCCCTGAGATTCCACCTGGTGTCTCCTGGGGAAGAAAGGCTTAAAAGAGAGTATGCTCTGAAACCTGGACAAAGGTCAAGCACCTGCTCCCTGGGCTCACCAGTTCTTGGTAGCTGCCTCTGGGCCCGGGGCCCCATCCACTTTCCCCAAGGCTTCATGCATTAGAGCCACCTGAAGGCTTGACAGTCTGCTTGAAGTGGTCAAGTCCGGACTAGGTGGGACCTCGGAAGAGCTGTGCTCACTGTAAGAGTGACCCATGACTTTCAGGGGCCTGGCCTCAAAAGGTAAGACCACTCCAAGTCAACCACAAGAAAAGACCACCTGGCCTACCCAGGCCCCAGACTGATTTTTAAATCTGTGACTGGTCATTCTGTAATAGCTTAAGGTGGAACAATACACCAAACACAGCCCCAGCTTCAGAGCCTTACTATGTAAGAAGGGCGAGGAAGATGTGAGCACGGGGCCTGGAGCTAGTGAGCCCAGCTTAAGAGGCTGATCCAGCACACACATCTGTCTCTGGCTGCTTATGCCCAAGCAGAGGGCCTTGCAGAAAGGCCCTGGAAATAAAAAAGCACGTGCTTGTGTGCATGGCTGGGGCCCGGGATGGGTTAGTTACAGGGTGAAGAATGTAATCTCCCAGTCCAGGGTGTAAGGTGTTTCAGCTCATTTCTGTCCCCGAGGCATGCACAGAGCAGGGTAAAGTACGGAAAGCCCAAGACAGCACTGAACACGGATGGGGTCCCAGCATGCACTGTTCCCAGGTCAGGAATAGCAAGAGCCGTTGGGCACCCAGAATTAGTCACATGAACCTGGACTGGTCTCTCACCACTGAGTCTGCTTATCTGCCAAAAGATGAAAACAATAATTGTAAACATCTGAATACTTTGCTCGGTATTGTGCCTCGTAAGCCTTTACGTGCAGCCATTCACCTAACTCTCCCAATAGCCCAATAAGGTAGGTTCTGATATCATCTGTGCTGCCTCCTGTGCTGTTCCAAGTATTGATCTATTGCAGTGTTCCGTGTAGTGTAAAATGCTATGCCAGTAAGCACTCTGTTCACCCGTTTACCAGAACAGCCCACCTCACACTGGATGGAAGAAAAGGGTGTTTCTCAGGCTTAAGATGGTACAGGTTCAGCTCACTAGTCTCCTCTGGAGAGCTCCCTCACAAGAATGCTGCCCCAGTGGCAACTGTGGAGGAGCTAGAAAAAAGTAAGTGGGGTGACTTCCCTGGAAACTCCCCGTCTCCTCACCTGCACACATGTCAGGCACCAGTTCCCGCTCCTCGGAGTCCTCTCTCGGAGCTTCACCCTGTGGGTCGGGGCCCATTTCCTGCTCTGGGTGGCCGCCTCTCCTGTCCGCATCCTGTGCACGAGAACCCATTTCTCTCTCTTCTGGGTCCCCTTCCCTGTCCTCAGAGTTCTCAAAATCGGAGCCCATCCCTGTGTCTTCTGAATCCAGGCCTTCACACACGCCCTGTTTGTCTTCTTGTTCCATCCGAGAGGAACGGGGCAAGGGAGGTGACCCGGAATCCCTGCTCCAGACAAAACACACAGATAAAGGTCACGTCAGATTGGCCTTATTCCCTCACCATGTCCACCTTTGAATTCCGGAGGCATAGTCCAATAAAATGTAGAGTTCCAAGATTCAGATGGTAAATCTCTGCTCCCCCTCATGTTTTAAGGTTAATACTTCTGAGCGCAAAGGAGGCTGGTCTGGGTGCCAGAGGAACAGGGGGGTCAACCTGAGGCTATAGGCCAACTCTGGCTGGACCACACTCTGATCTGTTTCCACCTGTTTAGTGAATGATTCTATTGACGTGGCTTTGTAGCTTTAACCAAGGGGTAACAATGGTATCCCCATGTTACAGCTGAGAAAGTGATGCTGAAAAAGAAGACCCACTAGCCCAAGGCTGACATGTAAGCAGTACAGTGGGGTTCAAACCGATTCCGCTGCCTCAAAGTTCCACACGTTCCCTACTCTTATTAAAGCTTGCCTTTAAGTCTGCACAATTTGTATTGACCAATTACACCTCAGTAAAGCCGGGGTGGGAGGGGGCCTTGCCATCCTCAAGTCCACGACAATCTTGTGAGGATTCTAGCTAACGATAAGTGGGACCATAAGGAGTCAGAGAAAAAGCACACTCAGGACACAAGGATGACAGAAGCAATGGCATACGAACTGCTGATCTAAGACCATGTCACCAGCAGCAGAACCAGCCGGGCTTTGTGATGAGGACCAAGCTTTCATAGGTCTGTGGGAGGTGGATGGAAGGGATGCAGGAACCCTCTCTATTAGAAGCCGTCCCATTACGTAGTTCGCCTTATAACACGTATACTTTAGTTGTCGAGAGCCCTTAACAAAGCACACGCCTGGCGTCATCGGTGACCCCTCTACAGAACGGGCCGACATGGGAACTGTAGGGAGAAAATGACCTCAGATTCCTAAATCTTTTGTAGACGTCAGTTTACATTTCAAATTTAAAGGGCCCCCTGCCAAGACTGAGCTGAGCGATGGAGCCAAAAATAATTTGCGTCTGCCATCCATCACTCCCACAGCTTGGCTCACAGCAGTGGAGCAGTTTATAGGTCAAGGATCTTGGATTAAGACTTAGAAGTGTCCAGCTCTCTGCCTCAGCAGCCCCCACACAGAACTTACAAGAACATGGCTAAGCAAGACACCCCTTCCTTAGCCGGGAGCTTTTCCTGCCTCCACTGGGGACCTCCCCGAGGCAGCCCCAGCTCTCCAGAGACTCACAGTGGAGGGCAGGAGCCATTCTGGCTGGGCCAGCCTCACTCTGGGGCCCAAGGAAAGGCCACGAAAGTCTCACTGTTCCAGCATCTTCCTCAGTGCAAGGTGGACAATGCTTCCCAACCCTCCTCATGGGTGCAGGTCAGAGGGGAAATATTGTGGAGAGGAATGGATCCTCCTGCGTTTTACACATGTGGAATAAACATGTGATTTCTCATTTTAATGAGGAGTACACACATTCTTTTTCTTTTTAAGTCCTGATACCATTCCAGTGTACCTCAAAGACACACCGGCACCACCCTAATTTTGGCTGACTTATCACCCTAAAGAGCATTGTATATCCTTTCTCAGAGATGCCCCACTCCCTAGATCAGAGGGAAAACCCAAGCCCTTCTCTTAAACAGCACAGGAAAATAGTCAGTCAACAGTGTCCTGGGATGCAGCGGAGTTCCTTTAGAATACCTTCTGTTTAAAATGCCAGGCTTCTGCCCTGGCTGGTGTGGCTCAATGGATTGAATGCTGGCTTGCAAAACAAAGGGTTGACGGTTCAATTCCCAGTCAGGGCACATGCCTGGGTTGCAGGCTACATCCCCAGTAGGGGGCGTATGAGAAGTAACCACACATAGATTAAAAAAAAAAAAAAAGCCAGGCTTCAAACACTCAGGATTAGGCTCTAGAAAACCCCATTAAAGTCATAAACCTTTTATGAGTTCTATCCCACAAAGGACTATTAACCCCAAACCACTTCTACCCATCACGCTCTTGCCCCGTGCATTCCCTGAGTCTGCATTTATGATACACCCAAAGGTGAGGGGTGGAGGGAGAAGAGTGAGGTTTTCAAACATGTTTTAAGACCTGTTGGTTTGCTAGTGGCTAAAAGCAGCAGAGGGGTGGGGGAAAAGCTAAGGGGGGCCTAATTAATGGTTTCTGCCCATCTAAGACCAGCAAGAAGAACTTTACATCAGTAAAGGAGTCAAATACGTGTCTCACCAGAAACTCACACAACCAAAATGGCAGATAAGGGGCCCAGAATGGAACTGAAGTGGCTGCAGCTCTCTGTCCTGCCTGGCGGGGCTTCGGGGTCCACCCTGGGAAACAGGGAATCTTCAGGTTCAGCTCTAAGCCCGTTCGAGAGGGTAAGAGCACCTTCTTAGAAAGTACTTCAGATGCAGAAACAGAGTGAGAGGACTTTCTGATTTATGCTTTCTTGGGAACTGAGACATAATTCATACCAGAGATACTAAATAAAGAAACATGGTTTTTCTGGATTTAAAGGGCCAGCAGGGAGAAAGGAAGAATCTGAGTCTCCCACTTAGGGCGGGCACATTCAAGTTCATGGTGCTGCCACACTTGGGACGGGGGAGGGTCCGAGCTCCCAAAGGGAGCCCATCTATGGCCTCACTCACGCCGGGACAGGCAGCGTCAGGTTTGCTCTGAAAAGAAGGGGAAGTTCCTGTCACCAGAGAGACACCCCTTGTACAACCTCCACTCAAATTTATTCTCAAATGCATTACATCCGTGCAAGACTGGAAATCTGTACACCCCACAATGCAGAGTCAGTTCCACTCACACCATTTCACCTCCGGGTTCTGGGCAGCTGTCAGGTAACGAACAAGGCTACGTAGAAGTAAGGAAAGGCAGTCACCATGTAGTATGAGATGGAAACTGGTTGGTTTAAAATTAGTCTCACTGAGTTTATTAGTATATGCACACTAGCATATGTATTTGTACGTGTACACACAGACTCAGAGAGGAAAACCAGCAGATGATTAAAATGTTCATCAAACATCTCTTGGTCACTTCTAGGAGCTTTGCATCATTTCATCTTAACAATTCCCCAAAGAGGCGGGATATTTTTTCAATTTCAGAGATGAGGAAACAGGCACAGAAGGTTCGTGGGTAGCTCAAGGTCACCCAATCTTAAGTAGCAGGGCAGGGACCCAGACAGACCCCGGTGCTCCAGCGCCCGCATTCTTGCCCAGAAGATGGTGTGCTGTTCGGGGCGGCTTTCCCGTTTTTGTGAACATCTATGTATTCTTCAATAAAGATGTATTGTAAATCAGCCAACGTTTTAGCCTGACAAAACGCATGAAAGGAAAACCTACGATTCTTCTACAAGCAACAAAAAGGAAGACAAGGACGAGACAGGATGACCTCAGTTTAGATGACTTAATTTCAGAAACGTTATCTAGACACTGTGCCTGCCAGTCAACAGATAGCTAAGCACATTTTGTCCCAACTCCTCTCCCATTCATTCTCAAAATAAAAACTAGCAACATGTTTTCCTAAGCAAGGCCAGGGTTGGATAATGAGTGGGCGGCAGGGCCTTGTGACGGCCTTGTGGCTAGACTGGCTTGGTTCAAATCCTCTGCTCTCCGCCAGCTACTTCCCTCTGTGCAAGTTGCTGAGCCTTGCTAAACCTCAGAGTCGGCACCCATACAGACAAGTATGCTGCCACCAACCACATAAGATTGCTGTAAAAGCAGCCGGCAGGTAGTGGAGACATGGTAATTGGTAGTTATGAAACTTAAGCCAACCTCTTGATTTAAGAAATCACACACACACACACACACACACACACCCCTCTCCTAAACTGAGGGTCACAGCTATATTCACCAAGCATGGCCTTTGGCCAGTACAAGCAGAGCTTCCTCTGGCCTGGCTGCCAAAGACTCTATTAATGAGTAACCCACCTTGTGGACACAAGGGCCAGGCAGAGGCTAGCTTCTCGGGGCACTGGGGTGAAGGAAAACAGGCTCAGCTCCATATGGCTTGGACATGCTGATAACCCCTCCTGTACACAGGAAGTATACACCTACAGCTTAATGAGGTGGATGGTTCAACAAACCCAACTTTTACCCTCCGCAAGGGAGCTCTTCTCCCCAGTCAGAAGGGACAGAAGTGTAAGGGGAAAAACAACAGGGGTCATGGTGGGAGCAGTCAGGTAGACAAGATTAATTCTGCATCAACCTCTGAATTAGTGGCCATAGACGATGGCCCTGGGTTTAGGCCAGCACAGCCACTGTGCTGCGTGACTTTGAATCCGTCCCCTCTGAGCTTCCTCTGCTCAGTGAGGAGGTTGGGTCCGAGTGTATCTGGGTCCTCTTCTGGTTTGTCAGAGGACAGGCAGGTCAGTTCATCCAGGGAGACCACTGTCAGCAGCGGCTCACTCACTCAGCGGCACTTACTCAGCAGCACGCTGTTAGCTCCCCAAACACCCACCACCACCACCACCACCACTGCCGCCAAACCTTTCCCTTGGATGCAGGTCATTTTGGGGTAGGATCAGCCAGCTCTGCCAAGACTGCTCAAATCCTAGCTTTCAGAACTTGCAATATTTTCATGTCCCTTCCTCCCACCCCACAGTCCCCAACTCAAAGAAAAAAAAAAAGGTAATGTTTATTACCCTGTAAAGCCACTAGGAAAATGCTTAAGTGCATTCTAGACAACTCGACCCCATTTGAAAGACTGATCAGATCAATTTGAAGATCCTGCTACAGAGTGGAAGTAAACGCGATAAGGCGTGAGGGAAAGAAGGACGGGGAGGGAAAGGGGTGGGGGAGAGGAAGCGAAGCCAGCAGCAGAGTGGGTACTGGGGTGTAACCGGGAGTTTGGTGGCGCATTCTCCCAATGGCCTCTCTAAGGTTCCCTGAAAAGTCTGGGCCTTCCCAACAGCAAGAGCCCCCATCACTTCATGGATATGGATTTGATCTCATTTTCTGCAAAGGGGTTGGGGCAGAGAGCACACACCTCTCCCCCACCTTCCTAAAAGAGAAACCACCGGCTGGGTTTCCTGGTGGTACGGGATCCCACACTGTCACGCTACCTTCCGACTGGGGTGCTGCTGCGGCCAGTCGCCCACTTGAACAACCAGGGCAGCTGACCCAGGACTAGAGCAGGTGTCTCTCATGTGCCTCCGATAATTCAGTGAGGGTCACCCACCCCGTTTTACATGTGAAGAAAACTGAGGCTCTGCAAGGTGAGCTCCAGGTGACACAGTTCCCAGATACAGTCAGGACTCACACCGGCATTTCTGGGCTCCCTGCCACCCCATTTCCTATTCCTCCGGCTCCTCGGGGCGGAAGGGGCAGGGCACCTCACAGGAGGAGGACAGGAGCAACCACCTGGCAGACCTGCCTGAGGAGCTGTGAGAGGAGGGAGCCTGTGCCCTGAGTGAAAACCTCTCCCACCCACCCCCTACCCTCTTCCCCTCCAGCCCCGGAGGTGCGGAGGAGGTGCAGGGGAGTCATTTGCCAAGGCCACTGCCAGGTGGCCTCCAGCCAGGCCTGTGGTGGGGCTTTCATGTCAGGGGAAGGAAGCGGTCAGACGGCTGGCCTGGAGCAGCTCCCTCTCCGCCTCCTTGGGCTGCAGCTCCTTTCCTGTTCCCCTGTCCCCTTGCTGGTCCCGCCTTACCTCCCCCCCACACCCGCCCGCTGCCGCAGGCCCAGGCTGCCTGCTTACTTCCCACGCCCCCTGTGCACCACGTTCTCCCAAGGGAGGGTTTCTATAGCGGAGGCCAGGCCGGGCCGCCGCACTGGGTAGACGACTGGAAAACAATTTCAGTCTGTGATTCCAAAGGCTGAACTCATGACCACAACCAGGGGCTAACCAGGGATTCCAGGGGGTTAATCATTGGTCAGTCTTCAGCACCAAATGGGTAAACAGTCAACCTGCCTCTCAGGGCATAAGGCCATCAGGGTCCTCCGGCCCCACTCTGACCAGAAAGAGCCCTGAGGGCAAAGAAAGCCACCTCGCCTCTAGGTGAGAGGAGAAGGTGTCTGCATCCCAGGGGACAGCTCACCTCCTCAGTCCTGCACCCACACTGTCCAACCCAGCCGTCACCTCAAGTAGCAGACGGCTGCGTGAGGTGAACGTGAATTTCAGACAGAGAAAGTGAAAAGATTTTTTGCAGCTAAGGAATAACCACTTGCCAGACAGAAGCAGCTAAAATGATGTGGTCCCCTCCTCGCAGTTACTACGTTTTCACCTGGGGAGGAAAGCCCAAGTGGAAAAAAGACAAAGGATCAAAAGGAAGGCAACTGAGAAATCAGCTTCCGACCCCATTGGCCAGAGCTAGTCTGAGGCGCCTCTAATCTCAGTGGTCAAGAATAGCTCAGTGTCCTTGGGGTCGGGCATTTCCTGTCTGTTGGTTGGGCTGGAGCCCCTCGGTGTGGCCATAGGGCCTTGGCTTGTCACAGCTGCCAAGCAAGCCTTCGCCACCACCCCACTCCTCCCGCACAAAGTAAGATTTGTCGCAACGCAGGGAAGAGTCTAAGAACCTCTCAAGTTAGACCATCTGCCCTCAGGTGAGAAGGCGCAAGGCTAGCAGGGTGTCCGGCCTGCGGCCTGCGGGGCGCACGCAGGCCTGGATGGCTGTGAATGTGGCCCAACACACAATTTTAAATTGAGTTAAAACATCATGAGTTTTTTTGTAATAACATCGTGCAATGTATTTAATGTGTGGCCCAAAACAACTCTTCTTCTTCCAGTGTGGCCCAGAGGCCAAAAGGCTGGACACCCCTGAAGGTTTTCATGCAGGCATTCACTCATCCACATTTTACACTTCACTGATTAGGACATTCCACCCGATGCACAGAGAATCCCCGTGTTCCTGATTCCCATCTACCCCCCCCCCGCCCCCCACCCAGCCAATCCCACCCCGCCCCGGCCTCAGAGCACCACCACTACCTGTATACACCCTCGGCTTCTTCCTTTATCTATCACCGGGCAGGTCTCGGAAGAATGATCTTTAGATACTCCCTCAGCATGTTCAAAAGCTCAACGTTTGCATTTCATGGAATCAGAGACTCCCCCTTCAGACAGGAAACTGAGGCTCAGAGCGGGAGAGCAACCAGGTCAAGAGACTGACAGGCAGTTTGCTAGAAGAGTTGTAGCCAGAATCTCATTTTTCTGATGGCCACTCCAATGATCTTTCAATTCCTTTAAAATCAAACACCACTGCAGAAACAGCCAGCCAGAGGAATCTGGGCCACATACTTGTTTGTTTTTGTTCACGCTATTTGTTGAGGGTTCTCCAGAGAAATGGAACCAATAGTTGGTGTACGTAGAAAGTTATTATAAGAATAATTAACTTGTAGCCCTGGCTGGCGTAGCTCAGTGGATTGAGCGTGGGCTGGGAACCAAAATGTCCCAGGTTCGATTCCCAGCCAGGGTACATTCCTGGATTTCAGGCCAGAACCCCCAGCAACCGCACATTGATGTCTCTCTCTCTCTCTCTCTCTCTCCCTCCCTTTCCCTCTAAAAATAAATAAATAAAATCTTTTAAAAAAAAAGAATAATTAACTTGTGTGATTATGGAGACTGGCAAATCAAAATCTGCGGGGTGGCCCAGCAGACGGCGGAATCAGAGCCGACGCTACCGTTCCAGCCAGAAGGCCTGCTGGAGAATTGCTCTGTGCTCAGGGGAAGCAGCCTTTTTGTTCTATTCAGCATTCAGTGCACTGGGGGAAGCCCACCCACCACTATAGAGGGCATCCTGCTTTACTCAAAATCCCTCAATTTAAATATTAATCTAGTCCAACAACTCTGCCACAGATACACACAGAATAACGTCTGACCAAATATCAGCGTACTGACTGGCCCAGCCAAACTGATGCGTCCAATTAATCATCGCACACACTGTAGCTAAAAAATACGGTCCATGATAATCCCATCATATATCAAAAGGTACACATTAAACATCTTATCTTTCATGAAAGTCTTTATCAGATTGTTGAATGGGGTCTCTGCAGAAGGCAAGCAGGAAAGAATCGAAATCAATCTTAATTAAAGATCTGCACAGACGTGTTTGTGTGGAGGCGCACACCTCCACAGCAGAACGGAACGCCATTTAACAATCCATTTCACGAAGGACAAGAGGAAACAGACTGAGAATACACAGGGTGTGGATGCAGGACCTGGGAGCCGTTCACCAGCAGCTTCGTTCCGAGAGAACCGATGCTGGAATCCCGTGTGTCAGGGTTACCAGATGGGGCCACGTGACCTCAGGAAGTCTTTTCCAACCCAGATAATTCTGCGATCATATTTCCACTGGAATGAACCGTCCTCCAGAGATTGTTCACCACCACAAACAGGGAGAGAGGAGTGTTTGGACCAAACAGTTTCGGGCGTACATTCAATTGCCCCAGTCTGCCACTGCCAATTCGACGGGGAAAACTGCTCTTGTAATTCTCTGCCCAAAATAACTGGCGTTGTGGACGAAGAACGGCCGGCGTGTTCCTGCCCAGTTCATTTCAGCAGTGGGAAAGTGACACCCCTGTGCAGGACCTGCCAGGGTGTCTTCCAACGAAGAGAAAGCAGGAATAAAAATGCAGGGACATCACCTGATACTTCAGTTTTCCTGCCCAGTTAAAATTTAAGCTCCACAGCCAGATTGTCTGCAGCATAAAGTAAAACATTTACAGACACTGCAAAACATCTTTTTAAAAAATACTTGCCCTAGTTTTATTTCTTTAAAAAATAACATTATCAGCAAAACTCAGAACACAGCAAAGTCTAGGAGACACGTGATCCAGTTTCTTCAATGATGACAAAAATGGCAAGACAGAAAGGAGGAAAACCTATGAAGTAAAAAAAACTTGAGATGTGTCAACTAACCTCAGGGCATAGGTCTTCTCTGAATCCGAGTTCAGATGAACTACAAAAATAAATTATGAGGAGACTGGGGAATGGTGAAGACTGGTATTTGATAGTAAGGAATCATTCATTTTTTAAGGTGTTGGTCTTGGGGTTAAGTTTACAAAGAGTGCTTATATCTTTAAGGGGTACATAATGAAGTATTCACAGGTGAAAAGGTACTTCTGGATTTGCTTCATTTGAAACGGCGTCGAGAGTTCGAGGACGAAACGGAATGGGGCCGGGATGCCGACGAAACAAGACGGTTACACACCGGGCCCTGCTGAGGCTGGGGGGATGGCACACACGGCTTAATTCACTACGCTATCTCCTTTCGTACTGGCTAGAAAATTCACTAATAAAAATTTTAATGGAAAACATAGCAAGTTACTTTTTTCCTGAAATTTAAGGTTGATTATACTCACTTAAATTCTGAGCAGACTATAATAAAATGTCAGCGACTTCCACAAACGGGTCAGCCCGCTTTTACTAATTGTGCCAAATCAGAAGTGATCTCAATGCTGAATGGTGGACCTAGAGCCCATGGGAGCTGGGGAGAGGCAACAGGATAAAGGGGCTAAAGAAACTCCAGTCTGGTGCTTTTGAGTCTTTTCTTAAACTTATTTCTATGAGACAGAAGAATAGCTGTTGTATCCAAAGTAGAATCAGAACCCTGTTTCCACTTCCCTCTCCTTTTATATTTCCAAAGAACTCAGAGAAGGGTGCTGCCCAGCCAGTGCTTCTTTATGTCCACCCTTCGTTCAGCAACCACACTCGAGACGGAGAGGAAATAAACTTGGCCGCAGGGCCTGGCCCTGCCGGCTCTGGGGGAGGGGTGCCGTATCCCCAGGAAAGTCAAACCGACGCAAGATGGGGCTGGCCAACAGATGAAGTACACAGAGAACGGGTCATCCCCAGAATGATCTTCTAAGGGGGTGAAAAATGTAAAGGTGTGAGTAAAAAGGAAAATAATATACCACTGACTTTTCAACCTGTGATCTCGACGAGATAAACCCGGGCAGGAACAGTTACTTGACTAGCCCAAACTGAGAACTTTTAAATTTAGCCGGTGTCCCTGTCAGAGAAACTCAGAGGATGCCATACAACTTGACTCACTGCATTACAAAGAGATCAGCTTGAAGATATCATATTCCCACTTTACGTCGGAAACCGAGAGCTCACAGATATTTTCCACCTTAGCCAACGGTGCAGGGTAAGTCTATGATGCACAGAACCAGTCACAGGACACAGCTGCCATCCAGGAAGTGGCCCGTATGTCTCAAGAGGAAAGTTGTAGCATCCAGGGCTCATGGACAGCTTGAACACCATAATTCCCAAGTCAAGTTCAGGCTGTTTGTGTTCCTTATGTGCTTTACACCCAGTTCCTAGCATTTCCTGGGGAGAGCGGCAGTCCTATGCCAGCTTGTAAATAGAATAACAGAATTTCCCAAAGGTGTGGGTTCTTAGCCGAAGAGCCTTCAGAGTCCAGGAACTCCCTGAAACCTTAAGTGAATGTGTCTGATGAGAAGGCCCATAGCTTTCCCTTGGCCTCTGAACAGATTCCTTGCACAAAAACCAAACAAAAACCCTCTTATCGCAGAGGACTCACGATACATCCCTGATCACAGCATTTCAGAAGTCATCCAGAGGGATTTCACAGGAGGGGGGTAAGAGCAATTTCACCACTATCTGCCATGAACCTTTCGCTGGGCTGGGGAAGAAGTGAGACACTGACTGGAAACCCCAAGCCGGGCAGCAGCACAAGATCGGTACATTTCAACAGGAGACGGTGGAGCAAACGCACGCTGCCCGATCCCGTCGGCCGGTCTCATCCAGCAGCACTGTTTTACAGATGAGTCAGGCAACAGCGGCCCGGGCAGGCTAAGGGCAGACAAGAGCCTAAATCCCTGACATCTCAACTTTTGTTCCAATCCCCTTTCTCCTCAACCCAACAGAGCCTACAGTCCTTGGCTAAAACATTCACACTGGCGATCGGGCCCTCCCGGCATCATTAGTTCGCCAGCTTTTCGTTTCCTAATCGTTTGCTATGTGGCAGGTGCACTAAGAGGGAGTTAAGTTGCTCTTCAAGCCTCTAACACACTGCCTCTCGGGGATGTAGCTAATTTAGACAAGTGTGATCCCAGGTTTATGGCTCCATCAGCTGCTTACTTGGGCAGTGAGTCAAAGCACATTAATCAAGCCCTAACCTACTGAGGACACAAAACGCTGTTAGTTAATCCTTCCCTCCTCAAAGGGAAAAAATCAAAATCTGGCCAAAGTCACCTGCTCATTCCTAACAAATCCTCAAAGTGTTAGCAAAGCCGTCCTGCCTACAAATAATGACCCGGAAATGCCCAGAAGAAGAGGAGGATGCTGGGAGTGACACACAGCTGCAATATAAGGAGCTAGGTCCTGTTTCATGGCGAGTAGGAGGTGCACCAGCCATGCTCACCAGCGTGGCCCATTGCTACAGACGGTTTCACAGATTTGTCCTCTTTTCTGTTGCCTCTTTTTCCTCGCGTCTTCATTGCTGCCTGTCCCTTGTGGGGGAGGCAACGCAAAAGTGGGCCACGTGGCAGGCCCACGACAAGCTCCATTTCACCGAAGAGGCTACACCCACAACAATGAGAGAATTTCACTTTTTGTTTTTGTCGAACATTTCTTGACCAGATCCCTTATTTTACAGATAAAGACCACAAGGACTAGAGAAATGCCTTATGTAAATTCACAAAGGTAGGAGTGGGTGGCCAGATTGGGACCAGCCTTCGGGTCATCTGATTCCTTCCAAGTTCAGTCATTCCGGCACCAGACCCTCCCAGCCCGCTCTGCCACATGTATGAGTCGACTGCTCTGGTTATAACCAACAGCATTTCACTGGTTCTACCTTCTTCCTTCCCATTCTTCTTGTTCTCCCCCAGGTGCCTGCTAATTTTTTTTCCTATTGTAATTTTAATTATTTTCCTCTAAAAGTTTATGTAGAAAATGTTCTTTAAACTCAACTTCCTGTGATCTTCTGAATTGGTTTCTGATTTAAGAGGCTTTGGATTATCTACTGTTTGTCTTAGAGAAAACAGACATTTCATTAGCTAAGGGGAAAAAAACAGCTATTTGAATTAGCCTAGGCTTAATGGAGTGTTATGGTAAATATTTAATAATTCCAAGTCCTTGGTACAGCATTTGAAAGAAAAGTCATCGAGAGAGAGAGAGAAAGGGGGAGGAGAGAAAGCCTATGAAACATCAAACTGAGCAATTAGTTCTGGTTATGCCACTTTAAAAGGATTTTTTAAAGAGTTTTTTCCAATCAACCCTGAAACTCTCATTAAAAGCAGAAACCCTTTCTTCTGCAGTATCATTTTTTTAAATGCCCCAAACCAATGATCAAACTGTATTGCGTTTCCCTCTGCAGTGCCCTTTTTGGGCCAAAGGAGTCTTACAGGCCGCTGGGGAAAAGAGGGACCAGTGTCAGTGAGCCCTGCTGAATTCTAACACCATCACCACACACATTCGTGTTCCCGTGAACCGTGCAGGCTTCCCGGGTGTGAGCCGTCTCAGCAGATGGTATGAATGGTCAACTTCAGTGAGTCAGGCTCACATCAGCATCAGCTGTAATTTTCAGTCTTCCAAACTTGGGGGCGTCTTCTTTGATCTCCCCAACAACACTGTCAAATGCTTGGCATATACACTGGGCTTCAGTAAATGACTGTGGAAACCCCATGGAGGCACGCCCCTTGGGAATTTTCTCCTTCCTTTGTATCCAGAGTACTGCTCTGTCTTAGTAATTCTCATGTTTCACTCACCAGCCTGTCTCCTCTTCTGATCTCCCCAAACGGGTCAGCCTTCAAAGTCCCTGTTTACTTTTTCTTCCCCTTCTCCCCCCTTTCAACCATTTGGCCCCTTCCCCTAGTTTTCAATAAACCCCTCCTCTGTCCAGAGACGTCAGAACCTCTCACCTGCACTCCACGGCGTCTAATCACGCACCCGTCACTGCAACTGAAGAACCTAAGAGCCCCTTCCAGTCCTAAAGTGCTGCCCTGCGTGTCACGTGGAGCGCAGGACAGGAGGCAGCTGACGGCAGGGGGTCAGGGGGCAGCACATGCTGCCTCATCAACAGACCCGGTTTCCACCAGTTTGCCACTTACACACTGTAAGCCCCCAAGACAGTCCTTTCTCCTGTTTCCTTCCATCTTAGTTTCCTCCTCCACACAATGGGGAAAACAAGCCACCTTGAAAGATCGTTGTAAAGACTAAATGAATTTCCATTTGTAACGTATCGAGCCTTGGTCACATTAGAAAACATCCCACATCTGTGCTACAAATCGGCTTCTCCAGTCTGTGCCCATTTCTGTTCAGGCCTCTCTGTTCTTACTCATCAGGCTCGAAACCCTGGAGGCAACTCTGACCTCTCCTCACTGCTTTCAGTCAGATCAGTAGCCAAGAACGTCCTTTCACTTCTCTCCTCTTTTGGCCGTTGCCAGGATCACGGCAGTAGACACTCTTACCAGCTCCGTGCACCCCCGTGTCACTCACTCACCGCCGGCTCAGTCTCAGAGCACAGCCGTCGCTGCATTTCCGCTCCCGCTCAGAAACCCGGTTGTCTCGGCCAGCCGTCTCCAGAGAAGCACACACTCCGAGTCCTCAAGGCTCTCTTCCTTCTTCTCCCTTCCTTC